GCTGGATGATACCTTTGACATCCTCCCACAACTCATCTGGTCTTCGCTCATTAGTGTTCAAGGCCTCAAACCTGTTCCTGAGATGATTCTGAAATGTGTGTGTGTGTATGTGTGTGTGTGTGTACACACACACACACATTTTACTTCATTAAAAGGCTCATAAAATCATTTAAACCCAACTATAGAAAGACGTAGAAACTGTTGGTGGATGCCCTCAAGTGGACCCCAATTCACAGCAATTCTGTGTACAAGAGAACAAAACCCTGACCCACCTTGTATCAGCCTCACAATCTCCGCTGTGCTGTACTGAAGTCTATTAGAGTCATTGTGTCAGTTCGTCTCCTTGAAGGCCTTCCTCTCCTTCACTGGCCCTCTGCTTATCCAAGCATGATGTGCTTTTCCAATAGATTGTTTCTAGCTTAACCACTCATTTGCAAGAACTTCTTTGCTCTCTCCCAAAGATCATTCATAAAGTGTGATGTTGTGGTTGTACACCATCGAGGCACTTCCCACTGTAGTGACCCCATGTGACAGAGCACAACTGTACAGAGAGTTTCCTAGACTATACGCTACTAGCACTCATGGCCGAGTGACAAGAAGCTGTGCTGCAATCCTGAAAGCGCACAGTTAGAATCCACCAGCCACTCTGCAGGATAAGGATGGGCAGTCTCCTCCTGTGCAATTTGCTGCCTCTGAAAACCTTCTGGGGGGTCACCTATGGGTCAGTTCCAACTCAATGGTATTCAATAACAACAACTCTTTATTTAAGCTTTGAGAAAGATTACTAAGGCTTTCTACTATGAAGCCACTAAGTGGGTCAGAAAGACTAAGTTTGGTAGCAGCTTAGCAGTTAATAGTTGCTTAGGAAAGTCTGCTGGCAAGAACCTCTCCAGAGTTCTAAAAAGCAATGATATCAGTCTAGAGACTAAGGCACGCTTGAGCCAAGTGATGGTCTTCTCTCAATTGCTTGCTATGCATCTGAGAGCAAGAACTGATGCCTTTGAGTTGTGGTACTGGAGAAGAGTACTGAATATACCATGGACCACCAAGAAAGCAAGCAGGTCTGGCCTGGAGACCAGGTTGCTCCTTAGAGGAAAGGATTTTGAAGCTCTGTATCCTATACTTTGGACATGTTGCCAGGAGCAATCGGTCCTTAAAGAAGAAGGTTGGAAGAGTAGAGTAGAGGATCACTGTGGGAAAGGAAGACCTCACAAGAGATAAATTGACACAGTGACTATGGCTATGGGAGCATGTGTGTCAGAGATGGTGAGATTGGCTTAGGATAGGGCAGGATTTAAAGCCATTAATTTATAGGGTCGCTGTGTGTTGCTGGAGAAGAGTGTTGAATATACCATGGACTGCAAGGAGTACAAACAGCTTTGTCCTAGAGAGGGTGAAGACAGAATGCTCCTTGGAGTCAAGGATTCTGAAACTTCGTCTGACATACTTTGGGCATGTTGCAAGGAGGGACTGGTCCTTGGAGAGGGACATCATGTTTGGCAGAGTGGAGGGGTGGCAAAGGAGAGGAAGACCTTCGATGAGATGGATCGATTCTATGACTAGAGCAGTGAGAATGAGTGCGTTTGAGATGGCTAGGTTGGCACAGGATAGAAAGGAGTTAAGAGCTCCTGTACATAGGGTTGCTGTGAGTTGCAAGTAACTCGATGGCACATAACAACAACAACAACATGAGTCATAGTCAGCTGGACTGCGCATAATAACAAAGCAGTTAACTGTGGTGACACTAGGGCTTCTTGTTGTTACTGTTGTTAGGTGCCTTCAACTATGGCTTGTAGAGAGCCTATGAATGATAGGTTTAAACCATGCTCAAGCCCATTGTTGCAGGCACTGTGTCAATCCATCTTGTTGAGGGTCTTCCTTTCATTGACCCTTTGCAAAGAAATTGCTCCTTAGGTATCGCTGTATGGTAATACAAACCACTGGCACTTGACTATTAACCTAAAGGTTGGTGATTGGAGCCCACTCAGCAGCATTGCACAAGAAAGCCTTGAAGATTCATTTCCATAAAAATCACCACCATTCAAAACCCTGCTTTCTATACAGGGTCACCAGGAGTAGAGATTAACTCAGTGGTAATAAATTTTTACATTTGAACAAGTCTATTTATTACAATAGGTCTCTTTCATTAGCTGGGAAACATTTAATAAAATCTTCAGAATTAACACTTTATCCCATGTGTTTAGACCCACTCATGTGTTTCAGTGCAGTGTTGTTTTTAGAAAATTTGGTCTATTAATGTAAACTTTAGAACCTTCTGAATTATCCCCCAGAAACAGACAATGAGTCTTCCTGCCAGAAGATAAACACCTACAAAGCCTCCCTTTGTCTTGCTTTTGACTGTTTCAACAGAAAGATTGGAGTTTTCACTGGTGGTGGTGCCTTCCACGTGGATGAAAATAATTATTGATAAGTGCAGAGTGAACTAGAATGAGAAACAGCCTAGAAAGAACAGTATGTTTGTGTACACCCAAGTGTTCTAGGAGTTGTTGGGTTTGATTTTTTTTTAAATTTACAGGAAGAGACCTTTAGAACTTTTTTCTCTATAAAAGTTTACAAAACTAAAACATGAGACCAAGTAATTTTTGCTCACTATCCTCAAATTAGTCTGCTGTCAAAGACCTCCCCAAAGTACTAAGGAACAGCAATGTCAGTCTGGAGACTAAGGTGTGCCTGATCCAGGTCATAGACTTTGCAATTACATGTTATGCATCACAAAGCTGGACAGTGACTAGATGATAGAAGAATGGATGCCTTTGAGCTGTGATGGTAGAGAAGAGTATTGAATATACCATGGACTGCTAGGAGAACAAACAAGTTCAAGAGGGTGAAGCCAGGCTGCTCCTTGGAGGCAAGGACTCTGAAGCTTCATCTGACATACTTTGGACATGTTGTAAGGCGGGACCAGTCCTTGGATAGGGACGTCATGCTTGGGAGGGTGGAGGGACAGTGCAGGAGAGGAAGGCCCTCGATGAGATGAATTGATTCGCTGACTAGGGTAATGGGAGTAGGTGTGTTAGAGACAATAAGGTTGGCACAGGATAGAGCAGGGTTTAGGCCTGTTGTAAATAAGGTTGTTATGAGTCATGAATGGCTTGATGGCACATAACAACAACAATCCTCAAATTTAAATTACTGGAAATAGAAAGAAAAATATGTTACCCCTTTACTTAAATAATTCTTTGCCTACTGGCAAAAGTGTGGAAATGAGCAGCCTTTGAAGGTGTGGGTAAGGATCTCCCCTTAAAAATTGGGATTTGATGAGAAGACAGTCACATGGGTGAACTACCTTTTTTAAAAAGTGTGCTTGTACTATGCCCTTGGTAATGATATAAATATTGCCCCCATTTTAACCTTTGTCTTTGCTTTCTTAAAAACCCTAAGGTAATTACATTGCACGAGGGGGTCTTTTGGTTTTTTTTTTTTTTTTTTTTATACATTTTGGGGATATCAACCCTTTTTAAAAAAATTAATTTCAATGAACATCTACAGAGATTTTGGAATTCAACTCATTCATTGTTGCACTTTTCTCCCCACCCCCAGTTTGCTCCTCTCCTTGAAAAGCAAAAGAAAAACTCCATTGGAACACAATCCCCCCTCAACCCCCCACCCCCACCCCACCCCAAATATACTCCACTCTGACGAGGTTTATTTTATACCTCTGCATAGTCAATAGGACATAAAAGATTGGGGAGGAAAAGTGCTGTGGTTTTTCAAGTCCAGGATTATCACCCAAGTCTGGCTTTGATTAAGGCTGCCCGTTTTCTAGGAATTGTGGTTTTTGTCAGATGCATGGGAAGGCACTGGTTGGGGTTCTGGTTGGAGCTCTGGTCTGCTCTCAGAAAACTACAGAAACACTCTTTGATGTCATTTGGTGCAATGCATTAACACATCAGGGGAAGGCCCAGTGTGCGTGTATGTGCTGAGTATCCATTACAGTTAAAGAGAAAAGCATGAACAGTTTTACTGTGTGAATGAACGTAACATAGATTTTCTTCCTTTTCCCACCTAAGCTACCATCTGTAAACATTGTGGGTTCCACCTACCTAAGCCTTCTCGTGTTTGTATTAAACAGATTCATTTCTCTGTGGACAATACAAGGATTATTTTCATTTTTTTCCCCTCTGGGTTTTCGGGCACATTTTGCCGCCTTTAAAAATGTCAGGATCTACTCTTCCTTGTGAGCGGCTGGTGGATATTACACATTGTATAATGACTCTTCTCTTCCAGCGTGCTCAGCAGAGGAGCTCAGCACATGTAAACTTCACTGCAAGTTCTTCTTTCCAGCCTGGCTGCAGCGAGACCTCACTTGTATTGCCCGCCCTCTAACTTTGTATTTGATCTTGTAGATACGGTCCCAGAACTCCTGTGTCTGATGACGCAGAGTAAGTTGTCATTTATTTGTAGGATTACGTTAATTGCTAGCCTAAACTGCATGCTTCCAGTACTTACCACTAATTGAAATGCAATTGATGCAGTAATGAACTGAAAATCCAACTGACTGGTGCCGCCTCCGAAAAGCACTCGGAGTTGGAATGCACAACATATGTTCTATGCAGGAGGGATGAATGAAAAAGCAACTTAAGCATGATTCTAATATGCAGCTGCTGCTTAAAACTGTAACATTCGCTTTTCATAGCCGGGGCATGTCAAAGTTGCTCTTGTTAATGGTTTGGACACTGGTGTTCCTTCTGAGTCACGAAACGGTTTAAAATTCTGAGTTTTGTTACTTCTGTGTTTTGCACTTCTTCTTGACATCCTGGGGCTGAGAATTAACAATGCAGTCATAATTTTTGTAGCCACGTTGTTTTGTTAGTTGTTTTGTGTTGTTTTTTTTTTTTAAAAAAAACCAAACAAAAAAAATAACTCAAAACACACGTAACTGCTAAGAAAATAAACCCTAAACCACTAATTATATATCCAGGAGCCCAAGTTCCTCCCAGGTTGGAGTAACATAAACTAGAGGATGCTTGAGACCAAAATATTGGGGGTTGCTCAATTTCCATGGCATAACAAGGGGCCCAGCTGCAGAACATGGCTTGGGCTCCCTCCCCTGCGCCTGGGTCCTCCTGTTCTCAGATTGGTGCCCCCAGCCCTCCCTCATAGCCACATTTCAGAAGAATCCATTCCTTCCTCTCTGGGGCCACATGAACGCCCTTCAAAAAAATGGCTTTCCCAGATGGCCATCACTCTGAGGCTGAAATGCAAGGTGAACTTTTTCTTTGTAGAACCTGAGCCTTCTCAGGTTTGAGTCATTTGTGCTTTCAAAAACATGATCAATGTCTAACTTGGTAGTGTGATTAGGGAAGTTATCATCCCATGGCTCTCTTCTCTGGGAGAGGCATTTTTGTGCCCTTGAGGGTGACTGGACCATGGGAATTGTGAACACACCATTCCTGTCTTCCTCTTCTGAGCCACACTTTCAAGTCCTGAAGTGGAAGGTCACAGAGGGATCTAAACAAGGGTACAGAATATACAGATATCAAAGAGGGCAACGAGATTGGACTAAGTGTTGTTTCTCAGTTCTGCTTTTTCCATGTTTGCGTTCAAGATGTCAGCTCGGTTTGCCTTGAGCAAAGAACCTGACCCTAGTGCCAAAATAGCTGTTCCTCATGTGCAATCTGCGAATGGTTTGTGGCCCTGTGTTCCCAAACAAAATTCTGCTTGAGCTTATCTAACTGCTCAGTTTGTCCTTGTCGTTCAGTGCCATCGAGCTGACTACCACGCATACCAACCTTATGAACAATAGAGATGAATCCTTGCCCTATCCTGTGCCGTCCTCAGCACCTCTGCGATCCATCTTGTTGAGGCTCTTCTCATTTGCTGATTGTTTCACTTTTCTCAGCGTGACCTCTTTTTCCAAGGACTGGTTCTCCTCACCACATACCCACGGTATGCGAGATGACATTTCAGCATCCTTGCCTCTAGAAGAGGACTTTGGCTGCACTTTCTCCAGGACAGAAGCCTACAGCCCTCACTTCAGGCTGTTTCTTTGAAAACATGCTGTACTGCTATTTCACAGTCACTGAAAGGAAGCACGTGGAAGATTGATAGACAAATTGCTACTTTGATTTGTTAGCAAAAAACATTTTGATAGAATGGATTGATTCTGCCTTAATGCTAAGCCTTTGTGGCATTTGCCTGAAATAGATCTCTGGAAAGCCCTAGAAGGGGAGAGAATACTGTGTTCTAAAGCTCTCAAATTTAGAATTTTGCTTGTGCATGAATCCAAGCCTTCACTCACAGGAAAGATCCATGATGAATTAAAAAAAATACAGCAACTGTTAAAAATGAGGACCCTCTTTGTCGCCTGTACACTTAAAAAAAACACAGCTTCCTAGATGAAGAGAGGAGAAAGAACTTCTTTTCTGGAGATCTTATCCAAGAATATCCAAAGTCTCAAGCTTCCTGCTTAAAGGAGACCCAATTTAAAATGTGGGAAGCAAAAGAAATAAAAAATTTCCACCAGGAGTTCGTCTTTTAAACAAGAATCTACAGTCTTTTCAAATGTTCTATCCCTTTCACCCCCACCCAGCTCCATTAACTTTCCTTTTCAACATCTTCAATGACAATGATTAACACAGATTAAATTTATTAATAATTTGACACATGCTTAATGTACAGGTCACTCAGCAAAAGATTTGGCAGAAAGTACACAGTAGGGCCAACCTACCATGCAGGCAGAGGCGTCTGCACCTGCTGGCCAGCCAGAAAGATTTCCATAGCTCTGACTTCACCTCCTAGCCCTTCTCCTCACCTCCACACACCTCCTCTCCCACTACTTCCACAGTAACAAAGCACATCAGTGAGAGATGTAGATGGTTTTAGTCTTAATGCCTTTTCCTTAATCCTGGCTCTAAAATGCAGGTTTCCCTCCATGGTTATTTAACCCTGTTGTTATGAGCCACAGAATTAGAACCAACCTATAGCTGAACCTTCTGTGGGTTTTTAGAGGCTGTATATCATCCGGGAAGAGATTGCCCATCTGTCTCCCAAGGAGAAGCTGGAAAATTCTAACTGCCTGCCTCTGAGTTAGCAACACAGCATTCTACCACGAAGCCACCATAATTCCCTTATTTAACCCTAGATATTTAAAAAAAAAGAAAGAAAGAAAGCCAAGCCACCTCCAAGAGAGGCTCTCTGGCCCTAGAGTAAGATGCCATTATCCCAACAACCCTAGGGCACAGGCTTTCATGCAAATTTCAGGAGCATTCTGGAACCTGGGCTTCTCCAGAATCTTCTTCCTCATTCCCAGACACTTTTCTCTTCCATTTGGAGACTGTGTTTAACCTCTGAACTGGAGCATTTTTCTGCAATGCTGACTCAGCCCATTTTCTGCCTAGTATTATCCATTTTCAATTCTCACAGTTCCTCTTTTTTAAAATAGTTTCTGTTTAATGCTCAGAGTTGGTTTGGTTTAGTTTTTCTCCTTTCAGATAGTTTCTTGGTATTCCTATTAAAAAAAATTCTAGAAAATAGTATATCACTTCCTCTACGAGGCCTGTTCGTTCAATACTTGTCTCCAGCACCACAACTAAAAGACATCGGTTCTTCTTCTGCCATCCTTGGTCATCGACCAGCTCTCTGATACATAGCAAGAGATTGTGAAGATCATGGCCTGGGTCCGTCACACCTGACTGACATCCTTGGTCTTTAGTACTCAGGAGAGGTCCCTGACAGCAGGCTTTCCTAACGTAATTTGTCTTTTTTTTATTTCCTGACTGCTGGTGCCAAAACTGTTGATTGTGGAACCAAGCAAGCTGAAATTGTTGACAATTTCACTCTGTTCTCCATCTATCACAATGCTGCCCATTGGCCCAGTGGTGATAATCTTCATTTTTTTTTTTTTATGTTGAGCTTCAATCCATATTGCAGACCCTCTACTGGAGGTACAGCTACCAAAATCACCACTGTCCAAAAAGTGTGTGGAAGCAGCTATACCTGAAAGAAAACTCTAAAGTCTTTCTCTGAAGTTTTCTTACAAGAATTCTCTTGAGGAAAACCGGCAACAGCTACAATATTCCGTTTTCATTCTTTTCAGTCAGATTTCAGTTGTTCATCACTCACATAGAGGGCAAACTTCACCAAGGTGTTCAGGCAGATGCAGTTTGAGTGGCTCAATGTGAGGATGGGCGGCCGTTGCCTTGGGGACCTCTCTTTGGGGAGCACGACCCAGGAAGGAAGCTAGTGTGTCCAGCAATGCTGCTGCAGCTCTGGGTCTGGCCTGAGGATGACTATCCTTGTCATCGCTCTGTTCTCTGCAATTGGCTGGTGTCAACTGCATGGCTTTTCAGAAATTTGCTTTGCGTTAAGCGGACTTTAAGAAATTGTCTCGCATTCTTCTGCCGCAGGAGCATTTATAGTCGACATCACAAGACTCTCTATGGGATTGAGGTTTTTAATGTTTTTTTAGCCCACTTACCCTTGAGGTAGTTAATGTGGGGAGTGGGCTCAGGAGAAAGTGCAGGATAGTACTCAGTTCTGCTTCTGTTTCCATCTTACTGCTTCAGTTTTTGCTGTAACAATGGTTTAATAGACATGAAAATGACAGAAAAGACCCAAGGCATTGCAAAGCATTTAAAAAGCTACAGAGTAAGTGAAATACATATGTATGTGTGTATATGTATAGTTTTTTTTAATTCCAAAATGATTCAGAACATACAATGAAAGAAAGTGGCTATTTTCAATTTATACACACACATCCTTAATTTTCTGAGGTTATTTTTTTTTTTCTTTTGTATCCTTGTTTTAAAAGAGAGGAAATTTAGAGGAGGCAACATGACAAGAAATAATTGTGAGAGGGCAAAATACTCAATATTTTATTCTTTACCCTAAACCCTATAAAAAAAACAACCTTGTTTTCCTGATTCCAAGATGTACTATCCAGTTAAGAAGAAATTTCCGGGAAATAAAAACAAGGAAGCACAGCAAGCACATGCATCATCAGTTCACAGATGTTAGATGCATCCAAAATTCAGAAAGTACAGGCAGAGAAAATGGATTTTTTTTACCCCAATTTGAGACCGTATGATATTTATTATTTTTAATGGCGAAATTGCCTTGGTTAATATAGAAAGCACTTAAGTCAACGTTTTACACAAAGCAGCATTCACTTGAGTAACATTTCTCCACGTGAAGCATTGTCCCTCTTCTGCACACATTCTCCCCATGTTGTTGGTTTTATTTTTCTACCTACATTTTCAGAACAGGTTCAGGACTTCACATAATATTTTGCTAGTGTTTGTTTTAAACATTGCCCATCACTTACCTATGCATTCATTAAGCTCCATCACTGGGCACACAGATATCACATTGTGCTTTGGTGTCAGAAGCAAGGAGAGGTGGGGCTCTCGCGTGCCCCCTGCCTGCTGGTGAGTCCCACCCACCAGGCTGCAGAGCCCGCCGCTGCGGCTGCTGTGTGCCTCCCAGTGTTCTGTGTGCGACAGCGCCCTCACGTGGCGGCGTGCCCTAGCACACGCCGCAGAGAGAAGGCTGCTGATCTGGTCAATCTCTGGGTTTGCTCTCTCCCAGGAGCACAAGTATGTTTGACGTGCGCTGTGAGGAGGAGGCCGCCGTGCAGCCACACAGCAGGGCCCGCCAGGAGCAGCTGCAGCTGATAAACAGCCAGCTGAGGGAAGAGGACGACAAGTGGCAAGATGTGAGTTCCGGCCAAGGCTCTTCCTTGGGCAGCGGGGGAGGGTTCACAGCCTGGAGACTGAGAGGGACTTTGGAGCCAAGAATCAGGCCGGGTGGGTCCTTGAACTTGAGAGTCCTGTGGGAGAATTTAGATCATAGATGGCAGGTGAAAGAACCAATGGAGGGTTTTTAACAGTGACAATAAATGTGGGAATTAAAAGAAGGTCACTAGCCATCTGAAGGATGAAAGTGGATGACAGGCATATAATAATCAGTTAATACCTTTGCTAGAAGCTTTGCTGCGTGGGAGAGAGGAAAGAGAGAGGGAGACGTCTGGAATGAATTGTAGGCTTGAGAAAGCAATGTCTTTTGAGCTTCAATATTTCAAATACTGACGGTAAAAATTACCAATGTTGGAAGTATACCGGAACCAGCCACTGTTCTTAATGTTTTGCCGGATTAAGTCATTTAATCCGCTTAAAGGAACTTAATCCCAAAGAGCTAGGAACAATTATTGCCCCCAATTTCAGACCCCAAACAGCTAATTAATTTGCACACAGCTAAAGGAGAGTAGAGGAGCTAATAATTGAATCTGAAGAGGAAGTTTCCAGAGCCTGTGAGCACCCTGAGATTGATGGTGATCAGAGAGCAGAGCTCCACACTGCAGGGTGATGGAGTTTGAAGAGGGCGATGAGGGTTGATTATTTCTTGGAAACCTCACAGAGCATGCAAGGTTGCTATTCCAAACGAGACTCTACTGCTTGTAAAAAACAAAACAAAACAAAACAAAACAAAAAACTATAGTCAGTAAAATGTTGTGATGATTATATCCACAATTTATTGAACAGTTCGAACTGACTTGACAGCAGGGACATTTGAATACTTCCTATCTGCCTTGCATTTTCTGGACATTATTTCATTTCACATTCACAACGAACCTGTGAGGGCAGGTGCTATTAACATCCCCATTTTAGGGTTGAAGAAACTGAAGTGCAGAGAAGCAAAGGAACTTGTCTAAGATTCCAAAGATGGGAGAGAGTTGTGGATATTTCTCTGAGCTGTAAATCCCATCCATTTCTCCCAACCTCAGGACCCTAAGTTTTCACTGTTAATACTGTTAACTCGCTGTGGGATTTGTAAGGTCAATGAATAAATTCACAATCACCTACTTTATGTGACCCCAAAGCCCATTTCCCCTCTACCTTTTCTTCCTTCCTTGAGAAACCTTTTTCAACCTGTGATTGATTCTTACAGTTGTATTGTCAGCAAAATTAGAATACTCACAATTCAGAGATCAGAGAGACAAAGGAAGGAAGCTTCTAGTAAGTACACTGTAAGGAAATTCTCTAAAATTTGGCCACTGGTGTAGGTATAAATATATATTTCCCACTGCTGTTTTTAAATAAATGTGTTTTCCCTGCTGTGAAAATGTCGCTAATATCTGATTGTTTTCTGTCTTTGAGACACTCCTGTTCCAACCAAACATGTGTTTTCCAAGCAGACATACATTGTATGGGAAAGCCCTAGCGTAGTGCCTGGTCCACAGTCCATGTTCATTGGACTGTGAAGAGTAGATATGAAATTATGTGCAAGGCTGAATAAAGGCCGTTCTCTCTTTCCCTCCCTGCAGGACCTAGCTCGATGGAAGAGCCGCAGAAGAAGTGCTTCTCAGGACTTAATCAAGAAAGAAGAAGAGAGGAAAAAGATGGAGAAGTTACTGGCTGGAGAAGATGGGATGAGTGAACGAAGGAAAAGCATCAAAACCTACAGAGAAATCGTCCAAGAAAAGTGGGTTCTTTCTGTTGTTTGTTTTAAAGTGTGTGACGGGATCTAGATGTGCTTTCTAGAAAAGTTGTTGGTTACCATAAAGGCTTTTAAAAGCAGTAACAGAAATCTCAGTCAGTGCCATTCTGCAGTTCTTCCTTGGTTCCTGCCAAGGTCTATGCAGTGTTCGTGACTGTTGATTCTGCCATTACTTCCCACCCCCATTCCTTTAGGGAACGGAGAGAAAGAGAGTTGCATGAAGCGTATAAGAATGCTCGGTCCCAGGAGGAAGCAGAGGGCATTTTGCAGCAGTACATTGAGAGGTTCACCATCAGTGAGGCTGTTCTGGAACGCCTGGAGATGCCAAAAATTCTGGAGAGAAGCCATTCAACGGAGCCAAACTTATCCTTCCTCCTGAACGAACCCAACCCCATGAAATACCTGCGGCAACAGTCACTGCCTCCACCCAAGTTCACTGCCACGGTCGAAACCACCATCGCACGCCCCAGCGTCCTGGACACCAGCATGTCAGCAGGCAGTGGATCTCCAAATAAAACTGTCGCTCCCAAACCTGTGCCTATGCTGACCCCCAAGCCTTACTCACAGCCTAAAAACTCTCAAGAGGTTTTGAAGACCTTCAAGGTAAGAATTGGATTAAAACTAAAATTCCAGGGATGTAGTGAAAAAAAGCACCCTAGAGGGAATATATATATTTATTTTATCTAACAAAATTAAAATGTATTAACATTTATGTCTGTGAAGTGTATGTGTCTCAAGATTTGCCAATAGTTATTCTCAATTACTGTGATCGGGCCTGACAGACACCAATGAGATTGACAGTTGGGTCATTTCCATGAGCACAATCTATTGTCTTGTTTGCAATGAACTACATGGTGCCCATCATTGTGGTTATGTTCTATTGAGTCATTTTCCCCTCAGAACAACCCTGTAAGTAGAACTATCACATAGGTCTTCTTAGGCTATCATCTTAACAGGGGGAGCCCTGGTGGCCTAGTGGTAGGAAGTTGCACTGCCAGCCCAAAGGCATGCGGTTTGAATCCTCTGGAGAAAAATCAACATTCTCTTATGAGATTGATTGCCTCTGACAACCCATTGGAGGGTCTGCTCTGTGTCGGTGTCGACTCAACGGCACATAATGGCCATCGTAATGGGAGCACATTGCCCAGTCTTTTCTTCTATAGAGTAGCTAGCTGGTGGGTTCAAATACTGACCTTTTCAGTTCACAGCTGAGTGCCTAACCATTGCACCACCAGTTCCTCTTGATAATCGCCAACCATACACTGAGTTGTTTGTGTGTTGGGAGAGGGGATAGGTATCTGCAACTGTTCAGAAGTACTAAAAGCCTTCAATATAGCATTTCTGTTGTCTTTGGATTGAATAGCAATATATGCAAGTGCCTGATGTCTTGGTAGAAATTCTGATGGCATAGTCCCTGGGGAGTTGTGCTGCTTACTCCAACAGGATGCCTCAGTTTGAATCCACAAGCAGCTCTGAGGGAGAAAAATGGGCATCCTCCTCCTGCATGATTTACAGCCTTTGAAAACCAGCTGGAGGGTCAGCTGTGAGTCAGTTCTAAGTTAACAGCAGTGGCTTTGACTTTTTACTTGACCTCTTATTTAAGAAAAAATTGACCTCAAATCCATGAGTGAAAAATAGTAATATTGAAACAAAGAACAAATGGAAGTATTATGTATACTTGGTCCTTGAGTAAGGCAAGTTTTCTTTTCTCCTTTTTTACTTTTAAATGGAAGGGAAAATGGAGAACTAGATGATTTTTATCAGTAAATGTGTAGAATCATGTTCTTGATCCGAGAAACCTGAAACAACCAGCTGTCTTTACATTTCCTCAAACTTTGGCATTTTCTTCAACATTTAGAAACAGTTTTCCTCTGGTGAAAGTTCTTTGACCATGAAGAAAAATCTGTGCTCATGGTCCCTGTGCACTACATGGGTTCGTAATAAAAGCTGGAAGTGAGATTCATCACCGAGAAGCACATTGTGGTTATAAAAACAATTTACTTAACTAAATCATTTGAGTGATGGGATATCATCTATTTTCCCTTTTAAATACCTTCTGACTTTTGCTTAAATAAATCTGCATATGTTTTTAAAAGCTGTATTTCAGCTCTGATAAGAATAAAGGAAACTAAACTGCTGTCTCACTAGATTGGATTGGATGTTTGTCCCTTAAGGACAGGCTTGTACCCTCTAGAGCATCATCATCAAGGCTGTGTGACTAAAACATACAAAGACTTTGCAGTTGAGTTTTTAATAAATAAATGAATCTTCCCTGAGAAGAAAAGTGTCTTAGTTATATAATACTACAATCACAGAAACAAAAGTAGATGGTGTGGACAGAAATTGTAGCTCAGGAGACTGCAAGTCCAAATTCTCTAGGGTGAGATCTCTCTGTCGGTTCTCAGGGAAGATGCTTGCTTCCATCAGCATCTGTAGACTCGGAATTCCTTGGAAAACTCCATGTTTCGTGTCCTTTCCCAATGCTGAGGAACTTCCAAGAGCAGAAACCTGTTTCCAAAAGAAGTCTACTCCTGGAAGTTGTTTTTCGGTGGGACTAAGGCCCCTTCTCTCTGCTTGATTTTTTCTCCTTTTATTGCTAGCAAAATGGAAAGTATTACAGGCCACACCCTAGAAACACCTCCTCTATGTTGATCAGAATTATGAAGGGATTAACAAAGGGTCAGTGAAGGAGAAGAAGACCCCCAAGGAGACTGGTTGACATGGTGTCTTCAACAATGGGCTTTAGTGTGTAAAGGATGTTGAGGATGGCACAGGATAGGACAGGGCTCCGGTCGGCGACTTATAGGGTTGCTATGAATGGTACTCAACTCAATGGCACCTAACACAACAGCTCTCATTAATCCTTTAAAACTGTTTTTTCGAATCATGAGGGATTGTTATAGTTTCTGCGTTTTATTTTTGTTGCCAAGTGCTATCTAGCTGATACCTACCTGTGCTTTTGCTGTTGTTGCTGTGTGCTGTAGAGTCAGAATTGGCTTATAGCTGTCCCTCCTGGAAGTCTCAGAGGCAGACTGCCCATTCTTCTCCTGAAGAGCAGCTGGTGGATTCGAACCTCCTGCCTTTGGGTTTGTGACCGAGTATTTAACATTAGGCCACGAGAGCTCCTGTTGCCCATCCGTAGTGACTTTTAAGACCAACAGCTCAAAACCTTGGTTTATCCTACACCATCCTCACAATCTCTGCCGTGTTTGGGCCCATTTCTGCACTGTGTCAATCCACCTCACTGAGGACCATTAGATACATGTCCTGTGGGCGACACAGTTCAATCCATGACAGAAAGCTACTAAACATGCACCAATATACTTATGCTCTCTGCATGACTCTACACACGTTCCTTGGTCTACTTCAATAGCTTTCCTTCCCCCTAGGTCAGAGATGATGAACTATGACATCTCGTAAGGAAGGTCTTATGTCAGGGTGGCCCAACACAGGACTAGAGAATATTTTTCATTGACTGTGTCCAAAGCCTCTGTGTAGATAATCTAGATGCTCCCTTCCCCCTTCTTTATAAATGGCAGAGCTTTCCTATTTCTTGGAACATTTATAGCTTGGAGAAATATTGCAAGGATGATTATAGTGTGACTTTTATTGAGGCTAACTTATTTCACAGCAGGCCTAGATTTCCCGGCCTATTGAGTAGCTTTGGAAAAAAACCTCAGTTGCTGTTGATTTGAACCCTTGGCAGTCCCACATGTGTCAGTGTAAAATTGTGTTCCTTAGAGTTTCTGATGGTTCTTTTCAGGAGTATATCCCCAGGTCTGTCTTCCAAGGCACTACTGTTGTTGTTATGTGCTGTTGAGTCAACTGCAACAACTCATAGTTACAACTGTGTCATCCTCCTCATCTCTGATATATACTCAAACCCATCGTTACAGATACTCTGTCAGACCACTTTGTTGAGGATCTTCCTCTCTTATGCTGATCCTCTACCTTTCCAAGCATGATGTCTGTTGCTAAGGACTGGCCCCCTTCTTACAACACATCCAGACTAAGTGAGATGGAGTCTCACCATCCTTGACTTCGTGAGCACCCTGGTTTCACTTTCTCCAGGACAGACCTATTTGTTCTCTTGACAGTCTATGGGATATTCAATAATCTTCTCTGACATCACAGCTTAAAGGCATTGATTCTTCTTCTGTCATCCTTAGTCCTTGTCCAACTTTCAAATGCATAGCAAGTAATGGAAAAGACCATGGGTTGAGTGGGATGCACCGTAGTCTTTAAACTGACATTGTTGCTCTTGAGTACTCTGGGGAGGTCCTTGACAGCAGATTTTCTCAGTGCAGCTCATCTTTTGATTCTTGACTGATGGTTCAAAGGGTGTTTATTATGGATTCAAGTGAGATTAAATAATTAACAGCCTCAATCTTTTCTCCATCCATCATAATGCTGCGTATTGGTGTGATGTGAAGATTTGCACCTCTAGATAGCCTCAAACTTCCAACCTTTTGAACAGCAGCCAAGCACATTAACCATTTATGTCATGCAGTGACTCCAAGAATTCCTTTGTGAGATCCCTAAACTGAGTTACAGTCCTATTCCCACACCTTCCATTTAATGCATTATCTCAACTCAGAAACAAGCCATTGTAAAAGGTACAGAAAATGGTGATTGGCTTCATTTAGAATAAGAATGTATATCATAAGTGGTCTGGGCTCGAGACTTTTCTTTTTTCAAGGCACAAGTTTCTCCTTCTCCCTAGGTATTCCCACCGTATGCTTCTGATGTGTTTGGCTGTGTTACCTGCATGTTGGATCCCACGCCAACTTTCTGTGATTCTTAATATGTCATTTATTGTCTTTGGTTGAAGAATAGCATTGGATTTTTTCATCCTAATTTTTATAGGTAGATGGGAAAGTCAGCATGAATGGAGAAATGGCTCATGGAGATGAAGAGGAGAAGGACAGAGAGTGCTCCGCCGGGACATTTGCCCCTTCCCTGACCACATCCCAGATGTTTGAAGGTGTGGCCAGAGTTCATGGGTCCCCTGTGGAGTTGAAACAAGACAGTGATGGCATTGAGATCAACATCAAGAAGCCAAATTGTATTCCTCAAGAGCTGACAGTAAGAACTCAACATTTTTTCTCTCTCCTTGCAGTATTTCCATTGTAACACAATATTTTTAAAAAAATAAGTAGGCTTTGATACTGACCATTTTGTTCTGTGTGAGGTATAATGAAAACAATTGTTTTTAATCCATTTCAACTTATGGTGACTCCTAGGCATGAGAGTAGAACTCTGCTATTTTGGGTATTCAGTGGCTAAATGTTCAGATCATCAAATCTGTCTTCTGAGGTCCATCCTGTTAGACTTGAACCTCCAACTTTTTCATTAACAGCCATGCACATTAATATGTGTAGAAACAGGGACTCCGTGGGTATAATAGAAGGAGTAATGTAATTCAGAGAGCTCTGGTGGCCTAGTGGTAAGAAACTGCACTGCAATCCCAAAGGCACGCGGTTCAAATCCACCTGCTGCTGCATGGGAAAAGAATGGACACTCTCCTCCCATGTGATTTACTTTCTCTATAAACCTGCTAGAGTATCAGTTATGGATCAGATACAACTCGATGGTATACAACAACAATATAATTCATGGAAGAAAAATTACTTTCTCATATCTTCACCTTGTGGATGTCTAGTGCTATGCAATAAGCAAATGAGTTGTAGTTGTTAGTGGTTAACGAGTTAATTCTGACTCATGGTGACTCTTAGACTGAAACCTTGCTGATCCTGCGCTGTCCTTACAATTTCCACTGCCCTCAAACCCGTTGATGCAGGCACTGGGTCAGTCCTTCTCTGAGGCCCTTCCTCCTCTTCACTGACCCTCTACTTTTTCAAGCATTTTTTTATTTGTTCAGGGTCTTATAATAATAGTTAACAGAATTTAAGAGCAATCAGTGCTGTTACAGCTAGGCTTTCAACTCTTAAAATATCAAAACATTAAAAATAAAATCAAAAGCACCCTTTGCCGTTGAGTCCATTCTGAAGCATGACAATCCTGTGTGTTGCACAGTATACTATATTCCATAGTCTCCATGGTTGTGCCCATTCAGAAAGAGATCACCAGGCCTTTCTTCTGAGGCACTTTTGGGTGGGTTTGAACAGCCAGTCATTTGGTTTACTAACCAAACTACTGTCGAGCATCTATTTCATGCAGGGGCTCCATTTTTAAGGATCTGTATGTAAGTGTCAATTTCTTTTTAATTTAAAAGAACAAAAAATTCTCAATAAAAGAAAACCCATGAGAGAGAGTACCTGTAACAATGTACTTTAAGTCCAACAGAGGTTGTAAGGAGGATGTCTGGCCCTGTTGTACACAGAATGATAATCAGTCAGGGAGGATTTGGTGACACCTAGCAATAACTCCACATTAATGTTCTGTTACTTTAACTGGTGAAATACAGAGTAATGAAAAAGGGGGCGGGGCGGAGGAAGCACAGTTACTGACAAAGCTAAAAATTAAGAATAATTCAAGAACAGCAAAAACAGCACCACACTTGAAGATTACACATTTCTTAGATCTCTCATCCCAAACACTCTGCTAGTTTTGCTGATAGAACTAGAATTGTCATTTTCCCAGATGCAACGCAGCTTTGACGGTTTAAGCTAAAACCTTTCTCCCACCTTGTTTGTCCTGGCCACTCAGTGGCAGTGTTTAGGGTGGCATTAGAGAGTGGGGAAATAGTCAAGTTTCTCCCCCAGTGCCTGGAAAGAATTGATTCAGAAGGAAACCTGAATTTTAACTCTAGGGCTAAGAAATAAGAGATATAGCTAACTAATACCTTCCATGCAGACTGGATGTTCTTTTTCTTATCTCTGCAGTTGTCTTTTGAAGAATAAAATTATGTTTGCTTGGAGAACTTGTGTAATTCTTGCCTACCATGCACAAGGGGATCCAGAAAGAGATCTCTACTGGAATAGACCAAAATAATTTCTTCACCATGGCAACATGTCTCTTAGTTTCCACAAGCAATGTGTTGTGATCCAGGCAAATGCTGAGTGCCTCAACCTGGAATTTCATTTCACTTTTCACTTGCATGTTACCACCCCTAAAGCGTTCTCTCAAATTACTGTGAGATGGCTAGTCTGTCAGCACAGTGGGAACTTTACTGGCAGAATAAATACAAACGTTTGTCTTAAATTTAAATTAGAAAGTTCCCAAATTGATTCAACCTTGCGGAGGGAGAATTGTTTTCCTGTGACAGGTTGCAAATTATGTTCTGCATTACTTTTACACTTTGCCATGTTTTGTGAGAAATGTGTTCTGAATTGCCTCGAAAAATACTTCTCTATCCTGGACTATGGGAAAGTCTGCTGTCAGGGACTGCTCCAAAGTAGGAAAGAGCAATGGTGTCAGTCTGGAGACTAAGGTACACCTGATACAGGCCATGGTCTTTGCAATCACTTGTTATGCATCAGATAATTAGACAATGACTAGGGAGGATAGAAGGAGAATTGATGTCTTTGAGCTGTGGTGTTGGGGAAGAGTATTGAATATACCATGGACTGCTAAGAAAATGAACAGGTTCATCCAGGAGACAGTTAAACCAGGCTGCTCCTTGGAGGCAAAGATTCTGAGGCTTCGTCTGACATAGTTTGAACATGTTACATGGAGGGACTGGTCCTTGGAGAGGGACACCATGCTTGGGAGGATGGAGGGACAGCACAGGAAAGGAAGAACCTCTGTGCGGTGGATTGATTCAGTGACTAGGGTAATAGGGGTAGGTGTGTCAGAGACAGTGAGATTGGCACAGGATAGAACAGGGTTTAGGGCTGTTGTACACAGGGTCACTATGAGTCACAGATCCCTCAACAGCACATACCAACAACAACATCCTGGAAGATAGGGAATGCTGCTGCTAGCCCAAAGATCTCACCTCTCTGGTGATTTGAATCCACTAGTGGCTGCAACAGGAGAAGGATATCTGTCCCATCCAATTTATAGCCCTGGAAACTCAGTGAGGATCAACTAAGTCAATTCTAAGTGGAGCTCGGGTGGCCTAGTAAGAATCTGTGCTGTAATCCCGAAGGCACGTGGTTCAAGTCTACCAGCTGCTCCGTGGGAGGAAGGATGGGCAATCTCTTCCCATGCAATTAACTGCCTCTGAAAACCTGCTGGAGGGTCACCTATGGGTCGATTCTGACTCAATGGTAAACAATAACAGCAACAACATTCCTTACTTTGGTTATTTTGTCTTGGTACATACTACCAGGCACTGCTCTTTCTCAAAATGCTTTGGAAAAGCAACTGCAAGTTGTTACATTTGCCCTATGGCACCTGCCCAATAACCACGGTAGTCAGAGTTTATGTCAGGCCCAGGGGGTTAATCGTGAGATCAAGTCTTTAGAGTCAGACTCTGGGGCTGTGCTTCTAATCAGTTCAGCCTTCTGATCATGCTGTGTTTGAATGTGAGGAAAACTGCCCTTAAATAGACTTTACTACTAACAAAGTAACAGATAAAGATTTCAGAAGTCTAAGAAAGAAACCACAGAAACATTGTGGAAAGACTAGCTCTAAAATAGGGAGATTATGAGCAATGTCATAAAAACAAAATATGTATGACTGGTTGGATGGAATAAAACCTTTAATGAGAATAATAATAACAGTAATAGTAATAATAATAATAACAATAATAACAACAAAGTTGTAGGAATGAGGAGGAGATCTAAATTTTCTCAACCAACTCTTTAATCCCCCTTGTTTTGATTTTCCCTCCTACGGGGCTGCCATGGGGGCAAATCTATAACTCATAAGCCTTGCTGTTACTGGTGCTGCTGAGCGATGACTCATAGGGATTCTATGAACAACAGACCAGAACCTGAAGCCTGGGACTCCAAAAAAAGAAAACAAGTAGTTGTGTTGATTTTTTTTAAAAAGCGAAACTTTCCTCAAAGATAACTTGTATTCTCAGTAATCCCTAATTGTCTTATTTTTACAAGCTAAAACAAAAGGCGTATTCTTTCTGCATCCCAGGTGTTTTCCCATTTTGTCACAGTTGCACTGCTAAATTACTAAAAAAAAGAAAATGTACTGAGAAGGTTGTGATTTCACCCTGATGACACCTCAACCCCCTGAAGTCTTGCTTGTTCTGAGAACAAAAAAAATGAAATCATCTCAAAAGACATCACATTATCTGAGGAGTAGAACAATTCCAAACAAATTTGGCCTTAAACTTTCTTCCCTGCAACCAGCCTGGACATCTCTTCTATGTATTCTTTCTTTAGAGTGCCCAGTTGGGGAATTTCTAGTTTCATAAACTTTAGTGACTCTGGCTAGCTCTAGTTCGAGTTGCTGTGGAGTTGATTCTGAGTCTTTCTAGTCCTCTGTTTTTCAGGATAGAATGGTGCCTTATCAAGTTTTGAAAGGCTTTTTTTTATTAATAAAATTGTTATTTTATCCTGTTTTATTTACAAAGTTTACACACATTGTTTCCATACCAGATCTTTTTGATTTTCTTTACTCACGCCACCTTCCACCCATCAAATTGTGTGACCCTATGATTAACCCTCCAACCCCCCACCCTACCCCAGCCCATCCTCACTCCTCAGCTCCCACCCCTCCCCCCAGTCCTCATACACATTCTACAATAATGGTCTTAAACCGTATTTGCCCTTATGGGACTGAGCTCACTCAACATAATGCTCTCCAGTCCCTCCCATATTAGTGATGTACAAAATCATTGGTCCTGCATGCTGTGTAATATGGTGTAAATGTACCTTAATTTCTCAATGCATTCAATTGTGGTTGCACATTTGAGCTATTTCCATGTTCTTGTGATGGTGAATAACGCTGCTGTGAACAGTGATATACAAGTCTCCGTTTGAGCTTCAGTTCTCATTTTCTCGGGGTATGGTCCAAGCCGTGGAATAGCTGGGTCATATGGTATTTCTGTGTTCCTCTTTTTGAGAAAGGCTCATTTGTTTTTATTTAGATCACTAGATCTTTCTTCGGAAGTATGTCTGCATAAACTTAAACTTCTAACCTTTTGGTTAATAGCCAGATACATTAACTATTTTCACCACCCAGGCTATAAATAGCACAGGAAGAGATGGTCTGTCTTT